GTGTGTGTGTCTGTCGGTTTGTCCCTATGTGTGTGTGTGTGTGTGTGTCTGTCCCTGTGTGTGTGTGTGTCTGTCCCTGTGCGTATGTGTGTGTGTGTGTGGGAGTGTGTTTGTGAGTGTGTGTGTGTGTCTGTCTGTCCCTGTACGTGTGTGTGTGAGTGTCTGTCTGTCCCTGTGTGTGTGTGTCTGTCCCCGTGTGTGTGTGTGTGTGTATGTGTGTGTGTGTGTGTGTGTGTGTACCGGGGCTGTACAGGATGTAGTCCACTGTCTGGGCGGTGCGTGAGTGGCAGGTGGTGATCTCCGGCCGGCCCTCGGGCTCCAGCCGGTGACCGTAGGCCGACCGGAGGCTCAGGCCGTGCTCGATGCTCCACCGGAACTCCTTCCACCTGGAGGAGAACAAACCAATCACCTTCAGCCAGACCAACTTCGAAGAAACAGTCACAACACGAGCTCCTCCAAAACTTCTGTCCAAAACCAAACCAAAGTCCCAAACCACTTCATTCGTTTTGAATTCGTTTTGTGTTAGAAATGGAAACCTAGAGAACTTTTAACCCTGTAAAGCCAAATGTATTATATTTGATTCATACGGTTTCTGAAATGTTTTGCGTCTGACACCTTTTGCATAATTTAATGATAAAAACTTTGCTTAAAATCCTATTGTACACAATCAGATACACCTGATAACAGGGGGCAGAAGACTACACAAAAAATAATCTGGACTTATCGCATAGTAATAAATCATTAATATAAAAAGTGTATTTCTGTTTTTTCTTTTTAAATATTTTGTTTAAGGCCAAATAAGGAATTCAAACCTCAAAAAAGTCATTTTCTGTTTTGTTTTATTCTTGGATCGGGCTTTAAAGGGTTAAGCCCCATTGACTAATCACAAAGTCCAGACTTTGTTCTCCCACCGTTCCTGCTGAAGCTGCTGCATTTTTTAAAAACTTCCAGGTAAATTTTTTGGTCTTCTGCCCTCCCAGAAAAACAGACATTTTTTTAGACTCCAGCATCTTTGTGCAGGTGGTGCGTTCACTGACAAAAGGTCAAGTGGAGCCTGAAAGGAGTCCCAAATTAGGACTGAGACCCTCCTTACATCGTTGTTAGGAACAACGATGCAGACTGCAGGAAGCCAAGGATGGATTTTCTTGCCTGGGATCTTCCTATTGGTGACCTAATCAAAATGGCCGACTTGGATGTGGGAGGAGCCGGACATCCGACCGAGGCTCCTACAGACTAGACACAGTGGGCAGTGGGCCGACCCTAACCCTAAACCTAACCCTGACCCTGACCCTAACCCTAACCCTAACCCTCCAGCCTTCATAATTGTGAGAAATAATTATATTTTTGGGTTAAACTTGTTTGGACTTATTGTACAAACCTATTTAACATCCACTATTTTAACATAATATTATGGATAGAGTTTAATTCAGTGTTTGCAAGATTCATTTCACTATTTTTAAATTAGCGTCTATATTGCCATGAAGCAATTAGGATTTTCTTGCCTGGGATCTTCCTATTGGTGACCTAATCAACATGGCCGACTTGGATGTGGGAGGAGTTGGACATCCGACCGAGGCTCCTACAGACTAGAGCTAGTGGGCAGTGGGCCGACCCTAACCCTAAACCTAACCCTGACCCTGACCCTAACTCTAACCCTGACCATAACCCTAACCCTTCATAATTGTGAGAAATGAATATTTTTTGGTTAAACTTGTTTGGACAGACTAGAGCTAGTGGGCCGTTACCTGCTGGGTCCATCTGGCTCTCCGGGGTCCGGGTCCTGGACCGTTGGGTCTGAGACGGCCGGGGGGGGGCCGGCGGGGGTGAACTTGGGCCGTTTGCTCTCGTACCGACACCGGCGGCTGATGCCCAGCTTCGGGGACCAGATGGGGGACTGGAGGCGGCGCTGACCCCTGGAGCCGCCGCTCAGGAGGATCTCCTGACCCGAAACCTGCACAGAGAAGCCAAACACACCCCCTCATTACTTAATAGGGGTGGAACGGTTCACAACAACCACGGTTCGGTTCGATTCACGGTTTTGTGGTCACAGTACATGTTGATTGTTAGGAAAATCTATTATGTCTTGTATAGTCAGGTTAAAACTGAAAGAAAAAAGCAGTCTGACATTTGATACATCATTGTGACAGTCTGAGGTTAAAAGTAGGTGAGATTCTGGCATTGCCAGTTCCAAAATGTGCTTCATTTATTTAGCAAACAATCTTTAACTCATTGGTTGCCAAAGACGTCTTTTATGTTTTTCAACGAGAGTGGCTGGGGGACGATCTGCTAAAGTTTTTCCGTAAATATCAGGCTTCTAGACAGAGTATGTAGTAACAAATTGACCCTCTAGGGGGCAGTGCCACTTTTGATGGGAGATGAGCATAGACTGTAGGCAAATAAGAAAAAGCTAACGGTTCGCTATGAGAGAACATGTCGCCGGTGAGACGCACGTCGAGGAAGTACGGAATAAGGTAGAAACAACATTTATTTTCCTGATGAAAGAAGAGAGTCTACTCTTTCTTTTGGTGTGTTCGGTGTTTACATAGTCATAGCACAAACTATTCTGTGGCTCTTGAAAAATCAGTCAAAATGCTAAAAAAACTGGCAGTCAATGAGTTAACAAAGAAGCATAGGCTCTATCAAAACTAGACTTAGGTCCCTTTGTTTGAATTTAACTCAAGATAAATTGACATGGTTCAATTCCCTGATTATCAAAACTCAGTTTGTTCTGCAGTGTTTGAAATACAATCAAATAAATAAGGCTGGATTTCTTATCAAACTTAAAGTGCCACTGTGTTATCTACCCGGCTACACCTGCTTCTCTTATTCTTCTTGTTTACTACTGGTACTACTAGTACTACTACTACCTTCTGCTCTGGAGTGAACACGCTTCGCCTATGAGAAAAAGGAGCAGCGCACAAACCGAACGCAACACACCCGAATCGAACCGAGACAGACTGTCACAATAATGTATCAAATGTCAGACTGCTTTTTTCTTTCAGTTTAACTTGACTATACAAGACGTAATAGATTTTCCTAACAATCAACATATACTGAACCGAACCGAAAACCGTGACCACGAAACCGTGAATCGAACCGAACCGTGGATTTTGTGAACCGTCCCACCCCTAATACTCTGTCTAGAAGCCTGATATTTACGGACAAGCTTTAGCAGATCGTCCCCCAGCCACTCTCCTTGAAAAACATAAAAGACGTCTATAGACGTCTTTGGCAGCCAATGAGTTAAAAGAAGGTGAGATTCTGGCATTGCAAGAGAGGAGACAGTGCTAGTTTCAAGATTTGCTTAATTTATTTGGCAAACAATCTTTAACTCATTGGTTGCCAAAGACGTCTATAGACAGCACAGCACTCAGATTACAATTCTGTTGCCATAATGCCAAACACGACAAAGGGAAAAAATAAAAATAAATAAACCGTTCCATCCCTATCCCAAACGGTGGAGAAAACGGCGCCTGGTGTGGCCATTCACTTAGACATGAAATAACTGTGTGAAAGGTTATAGTCCTCATAAGTTATATAAACCAGATAATATCCCTATATGTCGCATAAAAATCATCCTTCCATCCATCCATTATCCATACCGCTTATTCCTTGATGGGGTCGTGGGGGAACTGGAGCCTATCCCAGTGGTCAACGGGCGAGAGGCAGGGTACACCCTGGACAGTCCGCCAGTCCATCACAGGGACACACAGAGACACACAAGGACCAACAACCACACACACTCACACTAAGGGCAGTTTGGAGTCCAACAACCTAACATGCAGGTTTTTGGACGGTGGGAGGAAGCCGGAGAACCCGGAGAGAACCCACAGACACAGGATATCATGCAGACTCCACCCAGAAAGGTCCTAGTTCCCCCGGGATTCGAACCCAGAACCCTCTTGCTGGGAGGCGACAGTGCTAACCACCACACCACCGTGCCGCCCGCATAAAAATCAGATGTGATCAAATGTTTGCTCTAGCTAAAATCTCACCATGCCGATCCTCAGCCCCTTGTACTCCAGGCGGCCCCTGGTCAGGAAGCTGTAGAGCGGGCTCTGGGGGGAGGAGTTCAGGTCCCCGCAGAGCAGCACCGGCCGGCTGGAGCCGTCGGGGAGGCGGGACACCCGGCCGATCTCGGCCAATAGGATGGCCAGCTGGGCCAGCTTCACGTCGCCCCGGTGGGGGTTGTAGAGGAGGTGGGTGTTGGCCACGCACACGCAGGAGGACGGGTCCCCGGGGGGGTCCCCGGGGGGGTCCCCAGTGGGCTGCAGCAGAAGGATCAGGCCCACGTTGTCCCGGTCCAGAAGGGCGTCGCCCCCCCGGAAAAACTCCACCGGTTTGGAGGAGAGCAGCGAGAAGCGCGAGGTTTTGAAGGAGACCGCGCAGCCGTCCGGCTTCTTCCCCGTTCGCTTCTTAAACTCACACTGGTACCCTGAAACACACACAAATATACACACACACGTACGTGTTTTCATTATATATAAGGACATATAACGGAAATATAAACAAATGGTTCTACAGGTCTGAAAATCCCAGAGTTTCCTATCCATGCATTCAGGAAAGCTAACATCTATTAGGATTTTAGTTAGAGCAGACATTTTGAGAAATCCCAATTCAGGCACACACACACAAACGTGTTTTAAGTATATATATGAGGACGTATAACGGAAATAGGACAAATGGGGACGTGCCTTTCCAAAGGTTCTACAGGTCTGGGAATCCCAGAGTTTCCTATCCATGCATTCAGGAAAACATTCATCTATTAAGATTTTAGCTAGAGCAACATTTTGAGAAATCCCAATTCAGGCCCACACACACACACACACATATACATATTTTCAGTATATATAAGGACGTATAACGGAAATAGGACAAATGGGGACGTGTCTTTCCAAAGGTTCTACAGGTCTGAGAATCCCAGAGTTTTCTATCCATGCATTCAGGAAAACATTCATCTATTAAGATTTTAGCTAGAGCAACATTTTGATCACATCTGATTTTTATAAGACATATGGGGACATTATCTGGTTTATATCATTTATGAGGACTATAACCTTTCACACAGTTATTCATGTCTTAGTGAATGGTCAGACCCAGAGAAACACATAATATTTACACACACAAACACACACAGAGCCGTGCTGTGAACATGTGCTTCCTGATTATTTCCATCCCAACATCCATCCAGCTAGTTAACATATTACATATTAATATCAATAACATAGTAATAACAATAATAATCTTTGTTCTTTGGAGCTTTGTGACAAAAAAAACCTTAATTTAATTTACAAACACACTTAAACTGCAGGTGAACGCATCTTCACAGGTTTGAAGATCGTCATCTTTTAGCTAAAAAATCCAACATTTAACCCCAATGTCTAAAAATGATGGCTGAATATGAGAAGGGAATCACAAGAGCCAGCATCCCTAACAGATCTCCCAAACTCAGACCCAGAGGCCGGACTCGGTACCTAGTGCCTGGAGAGCCGGTTTGATCTGGGCTTCATAGTGGTCCTGCTGCACCTCCTGGAGACAGAGGATCTGGAAAACAGGAAAATGGGAGCTTCTGTCAATTCAGGATAAAAGCTTTGCCCTTCCACAGAGTGAAAGGGCAAAGGCTGAAGGGAAGAATAATTTTAAAGAGTGGAAGAAGACAGGTAAAAAGATTAGAAGAAGTGTAAAAGGACATAAAATTATAGATAAGGTACAAGAGGATTTGAGTGGGAAATGTTCTACCACTGAGCTATACCACAGGTCGAAGGGCTCCAGAGGAATTCATAGTAAAAATTTGAAGAGGCTAAAAAGCCAGTGTCCAGCAGAGGGAGCCATAGTTTTTGCTCCATTCATTTCAATGAGAAGGATAAGGCCTAAAAGGTTAAATATCTTAAAAAGTTGAAAAGATCTGAACACCAAAAGTCATAGCTGCATAATCCATTTTGATACCTTATTTGTTGAAATAGGCTGAAAGGTGTAGGAGTAGTTAGATGCAGAAAAACGTCCAGAATAAGGAATAATAAAGGGAAACAGGAAAACAATAGTGAGAATACCTGTAGGCATTCTCACAATGAGAGAAAATAAAAGCAGAAAAAGTTCAATAACTTAAAAAGTTGAAAAGATTTAAACACGAAAAGTCGTAGCTGCATAGTCCTGAGATAGCTGAACACTTTGATACCTTATTTGTTGAAATAGGCTGAAAGGTGTCATTTCGATACCTTTTAACTCATTGGCTGCCAAAGACGTCTATAGACGTCTTTTCAATCCAACCGCTGACTGCCAAAGACGTCTATAGACGTCTTTTATGTTTTTCAACGAGAGTGGCTTGGGGGACGATCGGCGAAAGTTTTTCCGTAAATATCGGCTTCTAGACAGAGTATGTAGTAACAAATTGACCCTCTAGGGGGCAGTGCCACTTTTGATGGGAAATTAGCATAGATTGTAAGCAAATAAAAACAAACGCAATGGTTCGCTATGAGAGAACATGTCGCCGGTGAGACGCACGTCGAAGAAGAACGGAAAAAGGTAGAAACACATTTTTTTTCCTGATGATAGAAGAGAGTCTACTCTTTCTTTTGGTGTGTTCTGTGTTTACATAGTCATAGCACAAACTATTCTGTGGCTCTAGAAAAATCAGTCAAAATGCTCAAAAAACTCTGGCAGTGAGCGACTCTCTGTTCTGAAAATGGCTGCCAGTCAATGAGTTAATTGAAATAGGCTGAAAGTTGTAGGAGCAGTTAGACGCAGAAAAACGTATATAAGGTAAGGTAAGGTAATATAACGTAAATAAGGAATAATAAAGAGAACAGGAAAACAGGGAGGCGGCGTCTGATTGGCTCACGTCGGCGGCGTGCTGCTGGATCTCGGTGAGCAGGTTGGGCAGCCGGTACTCCCAGGGCAGGTGGGCCGGGTGGCAGTGGCGGTACAGGTAGGCGTTGTCCCGCAGCAGCTCCTGGGACAGGATGTTGTAGGTCATCACCGAGAACTCGAACCCGCCGTCCACCCCCGGTGGCTCCGGCTGGGTACTGCACCACGTCCAGCGTCTGCGGAGAGCTGTAGAAACAACCAGGAATCCCCCAAACCCCCCCCAGATGTGATCAACATCTGTGTGAAGGACTGAGACTCAAAGAGACTCATCTATTTATTTATTTTATATTCCTGCTGAGTCTTGGCAGCCCCACTGTCTTCTAAATGAGTTTACACTTTAATAATTATATATATATATTATATTTTTATAGGACTGAGACTCAAAAAGACTCATCTATTTTTTTTAAATATTCCTGCTGAGTCTTGGCAGTCCCACTGTCTTCTAAATGTGTTTACACTTTAATAATTATATATATATATTATATTTTTATAGGACTGAGACTCAAAAATACTCATCTATTTTTTTTAAATATTCCTGCTGAGTCTTGGCAGTCCCACTGTCTTCTAAATGTGTTTACACTTTAATAATTATATATATATTATATTTTTATAGGACTGAGACTCAAAAAGACTCATCTATTTTTTTTTAATATTCCTGCTGAGTCTTGGCAGTCCCACTGTCTTCTAAATGTGTTTACACTTTAATAATTATATA